CAAGAGAATAGTTTGAGTAACAGCATCCAAACCGTTTTTGGAAGCAAGTGATTCATAGTGTCGTCTACATGCCTTTTGAAATCTCTTAGGTTGTATTATCTTGGATTTGATTATTCAGAGCACAACGAACTGGGCGCCAAAGTAAGATAAATGTCTCCCAATAAGCCCAACAATACGAACAATTCCAAAACCATAAAGTTTTATGCATCTCACATACAATGTATTCATTTATTACAATTGCTTTTTGAACAGTGTATAATTTTTTGGGAGCTACTTACTGACATTTTTTTGGCTGCGGCTTTTGCTTTTAGCCGTTGTTGTTGCCGTTGGCTTTTTTTCAGATTTTTTTTTATATACGTATATATTTTTTTGAGTTTTCTGTTTCTGTGACTCTTCGCGGCGCGTTTTTCGTCGCATTGTTGTCGTCGGCGGACGTCGTTGTTTTTTCGCTGAATTGCAATAACCTGTTGCCTAATGAAAACGGCGTCTGCTTATTTAGGATGTGGCCTGGCCTGGCCTGGCCTGGCCCAAGTACTCGCACTTACTTGCCAACATAAACACACACACGGGCATACCTGGGGTACCTTTTGGGCATACTTATGGTGGGGGTAGGTAATAGTTTGAAAAGCTATAGTGTGATGCACGGAAAGAAATGGGTATGAAACCTTAGAAAGGAGTATGTAAATTGTTAGCCAAGATAGATAGTCTTATTCCCAAATCCAAGCATACTTTCTCTCTGTGCAGCATGTGTCGATCGGTCTTCCGTTTATGTTTATGTTTACGTACTTGAAAGACAATCGACATCGTTCCCCCGCCGCCACTCAAACTTAAACTCGAGCCGGAGCCGGAGTTCAGTTCGACCAGCAGCTCTCACAATTCATTCAGCGAAGCGGCGTACAGAGCTTTCTGTTTGTTTATATGGCTTTTTAATAGCTCGTCAACAACTGCGCAAGGGGTTGTAACTAACTGCCCAACTGGCCCGGCTTCTACTTACTCCCGACGAGCAGCATTTCATCAATGACTGCTCCACAACTCTATAGTTCAGCCGCTCCACTGCCCCACTGGCGGCATTGACCCACCGGCGAGTGCAACTCACGTACGATTCCCGTACTAGCACGTTGGGAAAGGCCCACAGCTTTTGGCCCGTACATAGCTCATCGCTCAACGGCCCGGCTCATATGTCCATTTGTTTGGCGTTAAAACAGTTTACGCTAATTCCTATTGTGACACAAACGACATAGTGTTTGCCGCGGTGGATCAAGTAGACTGTTTGCTTAACTGGTTTCGACAATTAAACATTGGGCACTTGAAAACGGCACAGGGTCTGCGCGTCCACAGTCCATGGACCAGACATCCGAGTCAAGTCCCAGTCTTGGCTTTCTTTCACTTTCAGCTAATGGATTCTATGTAATTGATGCCTAAACACTCCATAATGCATGCTCCATGTCGCACTCCATTGCCAAATTGTTTGTTTATTCGGGCACAGGTGATGATAGCCCCCTAGTTGTGTAATCAAAGGGTATAAGTTATTATATAAATAGGCATGGATAACCATCGGTAATTAAACGATAAGCTCATATTTCACTGTATACGAGTAAGATGTTTATTTCCTATTAAAACAATAAACAAAATGGGACCTGATGTAAGTGGCTGTTGGAGAAAGATGTTCCGGTTTCTGATTTAGATAAGATTTTAGGGGAATACCTTTTGAAATAATCACTAATTTGAAAAAATAAATTAGGAATATTTTCCAAATTTGTTAGACTATGGAAGAGTATTCAGATATCTTGTTTCAGGGTTTGAGTTTCCTTACTTTCATTGACCGCAGATCACGCCGTGTGTTGACAGTTGCGTGGCATGAACTTTGTATTGAACTTGAAACTCGAGCTGGACAAGATCTGCATAATGCATAAGATGGAGCTTGCCATATGTGTGGCGGCCACAAATCAAAGGCCCGTTTAGCTTTTCCGCCGGACAATGAGCTGACATTTCACTTTGAGTGCTCTGCTTTCTGATATGCATTCGGTTGCGTTTTCTTTCTTTTTTTATTTTGTTTCATTTTATTTTCTTTAGTTTTTTTGTGCTTTTCCCTTCTTTGGGGATTTGATGGACTGGTTTCCGGTCACTCTATCGGAGGGATTTTCTTTAGTTTTTTATCAAAACCAATAAGAGTCCGAATGCACTTATCATTCAGTTGCAGTTGACACGCGTCATCCCATGGGTCATAAATCGAAAGGGATTTTTTTATATAAATTATACATCACATTATTTTGGCATTTTTTAAGAATTACCAAGTATCTAGTTAGGCAGATATCCAAGGAAAATCCTGAGTACCAAGATTAAACCTTTTCCAATCCTTGGAAGACCTTACGCATAATTTGTATTCATCATAATTATTATCTCATACATTGCCTTGCTGGGAAAATTGCCTGAAGATGACTGTCACCAGTTCCTTACCTTTGACTTAATGGGTTGGATGATCGGGCTGGAGGACAGCCTTGAGGTCAGTGTGCTAATCCGCCGCAAATTGTTTCTTGATGATGGGTGATGGCTGCAACTTCCTAACCGGGAGAGTCGGCCTTGGCAGGATGTCTACCTGGTGTCTACCTGGACGCTAATTATCCGACTGCCTGAGTCACTGTCAGCAGAAGCATGAATTTACAACACCTTTATTACGGGCCATCGTAGGCTAGACGGCGAAAAAGGCGGTCGTAAAACTCAAAATAGCAAGAAAATAAAATTCAGAAAACGAAAACAAAAATCTCAATAACAAAAAGACGTCTCCCCACAACTGCGACCGACTGGTTGACAACAAAAGGAACATACTTGTGGGCCTCGAAGAGGAAGTGCCAGGCCGTGCCGACGACGATGATTTCGTCATGACTAAGCGTGGTTACTCAAAGGGAAACCAATTGATTCCTTCCTGTTGGCCGGCCCCTGTCCACTGTCTAGTGTCCGTCGTCCATTATCCACTATCTACCACAGAGCCACGACTGCAATAACAAAATCTAAATATTTAACAACTAAATTGAATCTGAAGGCACTGAGCGCGCTCTGGCGAATTTTCCATGCCGACTCGACTCTCGACTGGGAGGGTTACCTGCTGGCATAATCAATAAAAGATAAACAGTGGGCCGGCTGCATGGATGGCCAGAGTCGGAGTCCGTTCAAATGGCTACATCACGTAATGGAAAACGTTGCAGGTAAAGCCTACTGCCTACACAAGTCCAAACAGGCGGAGAAACGGCTGGTAGGAGTAGGAAAATCCCAAGCCCCCTCTTTGAAGAAGCTGGAGAACTGTTTGGGGCATTCTGTCAGGCAGTCGAACAACCCACCAGGCCGGAGAAACATATTCCATTCACTCAATTTCGGTGGGCAAGACGAAAGACCCCCGTGGTACGGAGTACTCTAGATGCCGGCCGTACATGTAGTGCACATCAATATGGATTTTGGGCTCCGGTTCGGATTCGGTTCGGACCAGCTCAAGCGAGGCAAATCATTCACAAACAAACACTGAAGATGCTGCAAATCGATTTGAAGCAGCTGTCATGAGGTGTTTTTAAGAGGTTTGTTCAGGATTAGCCAAGGAAAGTTAATTCGCCGGGGAAATAATTGAATGGACAGATGGTTGCAAGAGGGAGATAATAAAAATTTTTTATGTAATTTGCTGGAAAAGTTGGTATTAATTATAGTGTCAATTAGGCGAGATACATAATACGAGGGCTTACTTAATTTATAGTTTTCCTTTATTGTTTCTATTCAAACCTTCGTAATCTAATATAGTTTTTTTAAGTTTAAGAATAATACCAATTAAAAGAAATACGAGATCAAAGATAGTACTACTTATTACCCTTTGAAATGAAACCACATTTTTGGCTGCTACGTATCAGTTCTACGATTGATTGTATGTGATATTAAATATTTGGTTAGGCCGACCCTATCTCGACCCTTATTGTTCCTGTTTTCTTTTGTATTGGAGCCTCTTGTTTTGAGCCGAATACACAATAAGAACGAGGGGCTTCCAAGGGGGAAAGGGACTAAAACCCCTACCGGTCGAGAAAAGAACGCCTGCGAGCGAATTGGCTGCCTACGGCTCATTTTCAATGGGCATCTCGATGACGATGTTGCTTTGGATGCGAAGTGAAGTGCCAGGCCCGCCTCAGCCGCCCGAAATGCTGCCTCGCATGTTGGTCTCAATCCCCTCAGTGGGTCGAGAATGGGCTGGGCGGGGGGCTGGCGCTTGGCACTTACACTTATCAGACCAACACATAAACCACACACATTTTCCTACAAGCTATGTGGCTGCAGAAGCCGCCGGCCGCCAGTTTGCCTGCCCGCCTGGCCTGCCCTATTATTACCAGAAAGCAAATAAACGCAGGCCCTGGCGTGATGGATCTGCCGCCGCTACACCGCGAAAAAAGTCTCGGGTAGTATCTGTTTCAGGTTTTGAGTTTCAATATTTCATGGAAAATATGTTTGGTCAACAACGCAGTTCAATATCAATTAGTGGTTTTCTGTTTAAACTTGGATCTTCAATAATCATTGGATCGTGGTATAATATTCGTTACCTTAATTGTTTAGATTAACTTAGTTTGAGGGAAGCTTAGAATAAACATTTCTCTTAAAACTATTGTTGATACTGTATAGTTTACTGTATGGTATAACTTTATAGTTACATTTCAAAGGTTTCTATATGTTCTATAATGTTATTTTCTTCCCTAAATTACCTTATAGGGTAGAATACATATTTTTAATATTTTGTATAAGTTTTCCATTTAATATTTCTTGTTCCATCAATATCCAATTTTTTTTAATTTGTAAAATCATTGCTAAACTTTATTGTATTTCTTTCTGTGCAGCAGATGAGGCCTAGGGAGCAGGGTCAGGGGCGTGGCAGGGCCGGACGTGGTCACCAATATACGGACGCATGCATTGCCTGCCTGCCACAGCAGCGGCTGAAGCAGAGGCAGAGGCAGCAAACGCAGCTGAGACACCGACACGACGACGAGGCAGCACAAAATTCCAGAGCGCACGCGTTCTCAACTTTAGTTCTTTGCGAGTATCCGAGACGTTCGGTCGTAATTCGTATCTGAATTTGTATCTGTGCGTGCTGTCCAGAAGTTGGACCTGGAATCGAAGTTTTTTGTGGCAGAAGTGGTAGAAGCGGCAGAAGTGGCAGAACAGCGGCAACAGCTGAAAGTCAAGAACAAGCTGCAGCTGTATCTTTGCATCTGTACGAACCAGTATCTTTGTATCTGTGAACGCATCGCGTGTATCTGTGGGATAGTGTGTGTTGTTGAATTCGGGCCCGTCAAACTGGGAGCGACAACCTAATCAATCAGTCACTCAATATGGCCATTTCTAAGAGCCATCGCCAAGGCAGCTGCTCCTCCAGCACCTCCAGCGTCAGCATCATCTCCAGCTTTAGGTCCAGGAACAGGCAACTGGCCAACCCTCGGGCCTGGGATCTGGCTATGGGATCTCTGCTCTTCGTGACCATACTAGCTTCGTGCTGCGCGGCTCCATCGAGTGAGTATCTTTCCAGCTCCAGCAACTCCATCTTCAATGAAGCTGCTTCGGCGTCATCATCTCGTGATTGTCGTAATCACTTGTAGTTAGTTGCTGCCGATGATGCCTTTGCCTTTGCGGTCGCATCAGGCCTTTGACTTATATATGTATTTGTATCTGTTCGACTCGTCTTTTCTGCGATGCACTACGCTGCGATGCTGTGGCATTTTCCTCGTTTGCTGGCATAATTCAAAACGGGCAAAGTGTAATTATGCCACTGCCGCGGAAGAGGCTGTGACACCGAAACCGCAAGACCAACCAGCTCCCGGATTGTGCATCCAAAACAAAAACGGTGGCACTTCGGTGTCATACAAAGTACGAGTTAAAATGCCCCCCCCCAACGGCACTCCAGCAAATGCTGCAATTCATGCTCCCCGGCTCGTCGGCTTGCCGGCGCGGCAGCGTGCGAAAGTTCAATAATGTTTGGTAACAGGCCAATTGAGGCGGTCACCACAGTTCAATTTAAGCGATAAAGGCAAGATAGTACTCGGGTTATGGGGATATAATGCACTTTAAAAAATAATATATCAAACATAGTTTTTTTTTACTGATAGCGGATAACGTATGTATTTTAAGGAAGTAATTTGTAGGAGACATTAAAAATAATGTTCTTTCTTTTGAAATTTTATTAAACTTGAGCTAGGGTTGCTCACATTCGCTTGAAAATAAATATATATTTATCTCCCCTTTTACGAGTTTATAACAAGAACTCCCATTATTCTTTGGAACTCCATCTTAATCCTTTTTCCGGGGTGAGCGTCGGTCAGTCAATAAAATTTATCAGTTTTGGGGTAAACGACCCCATACAATACTTGAACTTCATATCAGTTTATGAAATTAGTAACGCAGCCAGCAACCAGCAGAAGGACCAGCGATCATGTGGCATGTTGCATTGTGTGAAACACGTAATTTCCCTCACAAAACATGCCACACTGGCCCTTAAAAAGATACATAACTTCTAACGCACACAAATACGCGTCCCATGCCATTCCAATCCATTTGAAAAAGGGACTGACAGATGACACTGGCCTGGTTGCAACTTCCACTGCAACTGCGGCAGGCTGCGTTGCCAACCCGAAAAGAAAATCGATTGGCCTTTGTTGTTGTTTTACTTTATTTTCTTTAAATGCCATTTTCCTTATTTGGCTGCCGCTTTGTTTTCGTTTGTGCGGCAAGCGGCATGCGGCATGCTTTGTCCCATTTTAAGTCCCAAAGACACAGAGACACTCGGACGCTGCAGCATTTGTTGCTGTTGCTACATATTGTTTTTGTTGCTGATGCTGTTCGGGTTCCCAAGGGATTGGAAATAGATGCTGGGAGGACCGCCCATGCATATCTCATGCCGAGCATCTAATAATTCCTTACTTTTCCACGAATCCAGTTGCATGTTGTCGGCGAGGCCCTACCACTCGGAGGGGGCAGTGGTTGTCCCCTCATAAATAAGTCAGCTACTTTATAGGCACAAAATGCGACAGGCTGGGCGGGTTGCCCCGTCTCGTTGGTTTGTTTATTTGGTTACTAATTTGGGATTCCTCGATTTCGATTTTTTTTTTTTTTTTTTTTTTCTACTCTAAAGTGTGTCTGGAATTTTAATCACTGACTTCGGTCACTGGGAAAAATTTTGAGTAATGGGGTGTGGGCGGAGTGTTTTTCCGGCCAAGAATTCGGGTTGATCATGTTGCGTTTTGCTACCAAAACAGAATACTTATATACGTGGTATCTTTGGGACCCGTTTGTGAATGAATGTGTGAGAACATATACTGATGACAGCCATGATAAGACACACAGTAGATACGGCCATGAATGGGATCCATCGATGTGCTTCGTCTGTTGACAGATTCATGGATGCCCAGCCCTAATGGCCGTCGTGAGGAATATGGCTGTAATATCTGTTTGTTATTGCATTAAATTGGAGGTTTATCAATGTAACGGTTGGACTATTAACAACGCATGAAAATATATTTTTATTAATTTTCTACTTTAAATGCAATGTGATAGTTGCCTGTTGGTTGTTGGGGGAAAGTTGTGGCGAGGTTCTTAAACATTTCTCGATTTTTCGAGGCCTATTTTTGGGTTGAGTAATTCAAGGTGTGTTTTTGATTTCCCAGAAGTGAAAGCTCAGGTTAGTCATCGTTATAAAATATCAAATTAAAAAGATAAATTCCATAATTATTCCAAGTTTTCATGATTGACTTTTTTAAGCCCCATTGGGGATCTAAATTTGGTATTAAATTGTGTCTATATTTAATAAATGAATTGAAGAGCTAAGACTTTAGAGTTTTAAGAAACTTCTATTGGACTTGAACGTAATCTAACTGATTTTTTAGTTTTCAAAAATTAACTTGAAATTTTACTAACTTTTACCCCAAAGTGTATTTACATGGCAAGCTACATGTAGAAAAGTAAACAAGTTCCGTCGACAACGACTAGGTGGCGCTGGAAGTGAACCAATGCAAATATTTTAAGGTTTAGGTTTAAATATCTTTTTTTAATTATATTTTAACTATGTGTACTTATTTAAATAATATAAATAATTATTCATATTCAAATTAATCAAATCTTGAATGATTTTTTAGTTATTTCAGTCGAGTCCACCCCATTTCCCACGGAAATCAAAGAAGCTACCACGATACTACCATTGCAACAGGAAGAGTTCTCATCTCCAGCTGCCCCAACGAAACAAAATGATACTGTTGTGACCTACCTAGTGGATCCTGCCAAAATTGAGGAGTCTGATCATGCCGATTCCACCCAATTGGGTGTAGCTGAAACATCGGACAAGTTTGTGTCTGTTTATGGAGCCACTTTGGAACAGGATATCAAAAACGATGTCAAGAGCGAGGTGGAGGACGAAGCTGAATCGCCAGTGGATACACTAAGTGAGGATATTAAGGCTGATGCTGCAGAGGTGGAAAACCATCAGCAGGAAAAAGATGGTGAGTGGAATTAACAAGCAAACTATATAAGATGATTATCTAAAGAAAATTTTTTTCCCAGTTGATGTACAAAATTCTCGGGAACCTAAAGCCCTGGAAGCCGAAGAAGAAAATGCAGATCAGCCTCAACCAGAAGAGGACTCGTATCCGGATACAGTGACCGACAATATAGCCGTTTCCAGTGAGGTGGTGGAAAGCAGGGTTAGACCTTTGCCGAATATTACCAGCGACCTGGTTTCGGTTATCCTGAATGAAGACAAGGCCATTACCGAGCAGCCAATCACCAACACCAATTTGCTAGCCCTGGAGCAGGAACACGAGAACTTTGAGAGCGAACACACCACTCCCGAGCCCATTTATGAGGAGCCCAAACACCAGGTCACCAAGAAGCAAGGAGTGGAGGATGTGCCTCCTGAGCTAGCCCCTGAGGTTGAGGAAGAGCTGAAAGGTGAAGTCCAGCGAGAGGAACGACAATTTGAACAACCTGACTTGAAACTCAATGAAATTGATGAGGAGGGGGCACTCGAAAAATCATCCACAACAGTAAAGCCTTTGGTCCATGTAGAGCTCGCCAAATCGGAGGACGAAGTCCAGGAGATTGAGAAAAAGACAGAGGAGGCAGCCAAGGCAGAGATTGAGGATCAGGTGGTCGCTCAAACCCATTTGGAGGAGACTGTTGTAGAGCCTGCTGAGACAGAGGTTACAAACACAGCGGAGGAAGTCCCTGAAACCACAGAGGAGAGTGTCGCTGAAGAGGCAAAGGTCGAAACTACAACTGCAGAAGCTCATCCCCATTCTGAAATCAAAGAAATCGAACCACAACAAACCGCTGTTGAAACATCAACAGAGACGTATCCTGAACCAGAAGTCCAAACACAAGAACCTGCTGTTGAAGCACCCACAGAAGTCCATTTCGAGCCCGAACGAGAGGAAACTAAAGAGGTCCCAGAGGATTCTCCAAAACCAGATGGGGAATCCAAATCCGTTGAAGAGAAGGAGGACGAAAGTGCCGAATCTGAGGTCAAACCAACAGTTCATCCAGATTCCGAAAAAGAGGACTCCTCTTCTTCTGAGGAAGAGGAAAAGGATGAGACCAAAACTTCTTCGGATGACAGCACTGCCACTCCCCTCGTCTCCTATCCACCCCACGATGCAGGCAGGACCTTCGACAGCAACACAGCGGACGAGCACTCCGCCCAGCTGTCGAATCCTTCGAACTATCGCTCCACCCTTATCATAGCCCTGTGCTCCGGCACTGCCGTGATCTTCATTGTGGCCTCGTTGGTAATCTTCGTGGTTTCCTTCCAGCGGCAGCACGGCACCTTGGACATTGAGATGCAGGAGCAGCGCTTGGGCAAGGATGTCCAGGACGACGAGGACGCCCAAATGAAGCTGCTTGACGTGGATCTCACCAAGCCTGTCATTGTGGCCTCGGGGAACGAGGAGACTGATGAGTGCCTCTAGATCGCTTATCTCACCCAGCACCCTGATCCTCTCCAGGTGCCCTGTAAATATTTTTTAACTCTGAGATTGCGACGAAGACTTCAGCTGATTGTTTTTTATTTCGGTTTCCAAAATTGTTGACTGAAAAAATCTGCATCAAATCGAAACAAAAAAAAGGAAAAATACGAATCAAATCGAAACGAAATCAATTGCCATACTGATTAATTTTAAACACACTTTTAGATCTTAAGGTTTCGCAAAAATTTCGCAAGAAAATATTTATACTTAACGTTTTCTATAGATTTAAGCACATTTTATATTGAGTCTGATATGAAGTCAGAATAAATATTTTCGGTTGCTATATTATTTTGTAGTATTCTTGGGAGCGTTTTTCTTCAAAATTATAGCATACTTTTTGGATGAGCGAGAGATCATTCTTGTAATGCTTAGTAAAGAATAAAAACAATCATAAATATGATTTTTAAAACTATTTTTAAAAATGTAGTACCTGTTTGTCCCTGACTCTTGACCCAGTTAAAGCCAGAGTGTTAAGACTATACTTTTGAAAACAATTTCTGCATAGTGACAGGCTAACTTTAAACTTCTTAACTAACTTTTTTATTTCCAATGGCTAAGGTAAGCCTTCAACTCTTTAAGTAAATTGCCAAAAATCATTTTTCTGAAAAAAATCTAAATGCAAATGTATTTTTTAAAACAAATTAGGAACCCACCTGTATGTGTTGAAGTGTGAAAAACATTTGACGTTAAAACAGCTGCATTTAACAAGAATATTTATTTGATTTGAGTCTGAGAGGAGGGTTGAGTGTTGAGTTCAAATACAGACCGACTGAACAACATTCGAGATTAGGAGTCTATAAAGGTTAACCAGAAATGATTTAGGTGGCACTCTAGGCTGGAAGCAATAAACCCGCGGCACCAGTACGCCTAATTGCATGTCAACCGCAGCATATTGATCAAAAGCTCATTTGCCACTCGGCGACTTTTCCACTTTTCCACTGTAGCGGGCGGCACGCTTCAAAGCCAACTTTTAATTAGTTCATAATGTCGAGAGCAGCACGATCGGTGGCAGCTTCTATATGTATGTTAGTCGGGCAGAGAGCTCGGCGATTGCTGTGCGAGCTTGCAACATAATAAATAAGAACCCATTGAACTATTCCCCCATGCCACACGGTATCGGAGGCACTCCCATAATTTTAGACGCCAACGAGAGCGAAAATCGAAGACTCTCGCTTTTTCCCCGATTTTTCCGACTTTTGTGTAAATGAACTTAATGAGTGGAGAATGAAAAGGCGCTCCATTCGTGACCGAATGAAATAAACAAGACGATTTTCGAGATTAAGAGTTTATGCCGGGGCGTTCGGCTTTCCAGATATTTGTTTATGCGGGATTATGCAACTGCCGGCACAGTGGGTTTAGCGTTAGAAATAGTATTCAGTTTCTTTTGCTCCTCTTCGAGGGGCTATTAAACAATCAATTTAAAAGCAATAAAATACCAATTGACAGCATAATTTTCACAATTCCATCGAACTCAATTGCAAAACTCTCTGGAGCTTCAATCGGAAATCCAATGCGATTCAAAGGCGACGTCATTGTTTCTTTGACTTTTGTAGTTTTTTCTATTGGATGGAATTTAATCCACACAATGTTAATCCACTGAGAAGAAATCTGTTTTGTTAAGTTAATCATGTTTTTATTTTTTCTGACGGTTCTTACAACTATAATTTATGAAAGAGAAAACCTGAACACGCCTTTATAATTCTATCTTTAAAATATTATAATATTTTTTATACTTGGGTATGTAGAATTTTATCAGATGTTGCATGAATTAAATAAAGAATTAATGTTCTCAAATTTAAAAAAAAAAAAACAAAAATTATTTTTCTCTCTGCATGCAAGCGTCGTTTAAACGCATTGTTATAGCCATGGCCAAGATTAAATTGCATTTTATGCTAGAGCAACCACTGTGCTGCAGTTGGCTAGCCACTCTTCTGGCCGGATAGGACGGAATGCGGAGAGTTTTCCAATTTTCTTCCGGACTCTTGTGTCTGGCGAGCGTCTAACGGAAGAGCAACACTCTTGCCAAAGCTCCACGCTCACGCGCCTTTCGCTCGCTCAGCTGTTCCGCCAACTAAATTATTTTCCCCAAATGAATTAAATAATCGTAGTGCAGGCTGCCCTTCCCTCGCCATCTGCGTCTAGCTCTGTGCGTCTAGCGCTCTGTCTCCGGCGCGTACGCTCTCGTTCGTTCAGTGGGTGGCGCTTTTTCATCTGCCACACATTTCGAAAAAAGCAAAATAGCAACATCAAAAAGTTTTTCAGTTTGCTTGTTGCTTTGCACGCGTGCGGTTCGCTCGGATACGTCGTTCCTCCTCCTTTCGGGCCTTTGAGTTACACTTTTTTCGTTCGTGTGTGTGTTTGTGTTTTCTTTCAAAACCGCAAAAGGTAGAAGATTCTGAAATACCTATGCTATTTCGGACAGCTGTGCAAACTCGGTGATATACGCTGCGTATACGTAACGTTGTCAACACGTCACGCATACGCCCCGCGGTCCGCAAGAAGTCGCCGAAAATTATTGCAGTCTCCCCCTGCAAGTGATTTGCCGTGAAAGATTGAAATTTGTTTTTTCTCTGGCGTGAAATTTTGTGATATTCAAGGTGCGCTTTGGCGCATAAACTTTTATTCAAATATAAATTCAGCCACAAAACATATATTGAAAAAACATATACAATGAACTAAATAAACATATATGCTGGCGGGGTGCTTTCTTTGCTTTTCTTTTGGCAACTGTGCTTAACCATGTTCTTCGGGTGTGAGTCAGCGGCGTCTTGGTCGCGGTCACGGCAGTGAAATTAGAAATGAAAACGAAATGAAAGGAACTGCATATTCAGATCAAAACAAATGGGAACACCTCGCTCCCAATTTAAAAATGTTCTACAATTAGAAAAGTAAACAAAAGGAAAGCTACGATTTGTCTAAAAGTAAAGGCTTTTGCAGGTGTGGCATCTTTCTAGGTGAAGAAATAATAATAGATTATGAAAGGCTTTTTATGCATAATATTTATAAAAGTCATGGAACTTAAGTCTTTATAAAGCACACATTACAATGTAAAATCTTGATTCGAATAGACATATTAGGGCAGTCGGCCAGTTGGCAGTGGATGCATGTTATGAGGGCGGTGCGTCCGTCCAATTCTATTTGTCGTTTTGTCGGTTGCAACTTGGCATCATCCACATGAACATGCAAATGGATATATAGACTCTGGGGTGCAGACAGAGGCACTATGATAACTAGAGCATCATCTTGTTTTGGTGCCAAAGTCAAGCGTGTAATTGCCAAGCGAAGGCGTTTTCGCAGGGACAACGCTGGAACTTTCACAATACTTGCAAAAAACAAAAAAACACAAATAGGCTAAAAATTGATCGATGACGAGCGCCCACATATTATCGAATTTGCTTGACTTTTGTTTTTAATGTAATTATTTCCTATGACAATGAAAAGCCTTTCTCGTAACATATTCATGGCTCTATTATAGGTTGTGGGTTGTGCGGTTATATTGGAAGCTGTGTGAATGGGAATGGGATGTGGGGCGTTTGATTTGCCATATCTGACGCCAATACTACACATAACAACAATAAAGCACAACCCGAACAATGGTAGCAACAATGCATTACCTCTAATAGTCGCGTAACGCCCCGACTGGCAAATTGTTTTCGGATTGCTCCATTAACGACAGCGAAATGAAACCTATTTCTTGGTCACTTTTCTAAAAAATATATATAAATGTTAATGAAAATAGCTTTGGCACACAAATTGCCAATCAATTAAGTTTGTACAACATTTTTATTGATAGTTTGGCAGAATCATTTTCGAATGACGAGCACGCGAGCTGCATTTAAAGTATAATTTATGCTTCGAGACAGACTTCAAAATTTGTCAATCAAAGCTGTTGCCATCTGCTTCCCTTTGAGGTGCTTTATATGGTCGGAATTTAGGGAACCCACTCATTTTTCTTTGTTTGGGTTTTGGCCTTTTCATTTCCAGCGTGATAGGCATGTTTCGTTTGGGCCTGGGTCTTTACGGTTGATTAATTAAAACAGCAATTAAATATTTTGTTAAACTACAAAACAGATCCGACGAATAGTTGCCAAATTGGCGTTTTCCTAAAAAGAAACAGTCGGAGCGCGAAGAACGGAAGTTATAAATTCCTAAGCGGTCTGATATCATGGCTATTTATATTGTATGTATAGAATAGACAGTACATATGTGTCAACACACTACTGAAGATGAGTTATTACCCAAGGGTCTAGAAGTTGGTCGGACCCTGCACGGCATATCAATTAGAAGAAAGCGCCGGGCCAGGGCAACACCCTTTGGATTGGCACATGCCACATACCACGCCCATTTCGGCTAACCTATAGGTGCAACATGCAACATGTGCAAGTGCCCGCGACCAGACAAAACTATTCGGTCATTAACCGGAAAAGTGCATCGCGCAGACAAATGGTCATTAAAAAAGAAATAAGAGCACCCCTCGCCACCCGAAACCCCATTTCCTCCGATCCGTACTAACTCAGATCATTAATTTGTGCAAACGTTTGATTTGTTTATACCAAAAAAAAAAGGAAAGTATCAGAGGAAGCAGGCTATAATTTGGCCAAAGTGCAGGGAGGCTGCAGCGGCAAAGAATCGGAAAATTCGCCCAAACACAAACAATTCCTCCTCCGGCGGCCCACGTTTACGGGCCGGGTACATCCAAGTGCGGGCCGAGAAATTCCAAGTGCAAATAAAAACAATGACGACAGCCAAATGGTTTTGGCGCTGGGCGCTGAGCATCTTGTTGGGTGAGTCCAAGTACTAGCTATTACTATGTTATTTTAGGCAGACCATCGATGATTTTATGGACTTTTGATCGATTTACTGGATTTTATGGTTTATTCTCTAAACGAAAAATGTTTCGCATATGGCCCAGCGTGGAGGGAGTCCATGAAATCGGTACATTTCCCCACCCATCGGGCCTATAGCCTTCGATTAGTATGCCAAGTTATGCACAGTGCGTCACAGAAGTATGCGATCTGCCAATCTCTGGCCGTGATGGCATAATGTTTATTTTTATAATTACAAAGTCAGCTGTGTCAGCTGGATGTTT